CATATCCTGCAGGGAAATCGCAGATCAGCGCAACAGGGCTGGCACTGCTCCAGGCATTGCTCTATCATCAGGCATTCATCTCTCCAAATTGCTGTTTGTCTTCCTCCTGGTCCTTGCAAGCAAAAGTAGGGCGTGATGTAAGTAATCAACATGGTACTTACTACCTCCACAATCTCAATATGCAAGGCCACCGTACCAATGCCGCGTATATTACAGTCTGCCTCGACCTTAGCTGCAGGGAACCCCAATATACGCAAAAGAGGGCAATGAAAATTAACGCCAACCATGCAAGCCACAGTTCAAGGAGCTCTCTGTGTGCGGAAAGTGTGCGGAAATTCCGGAGTATGCTTATATGCACTGACTCATGCATGCGCTGCCGGTGCTGCAGCAGCTGTTGCTTCGCATTGATTCAATCAGAATGAGTGGCTGGCTCGGATATCTTACCTCGAAATGGTTCGCTATGTGGAGAGCAGAGGTTACCCATGGATTCCTCAAGCTTCAGTAGCTCTTGTCGTACTTCTGAAATGAACAAGGAACACGACGCGCACTGCGTCGGGAGGCTGTTGGAGCAGCACTGGCGAACCACAAATTAAACAACACCCACTGAATTCCAAGTAGGGTGGTGCGCATAGGAAGCATGCTGATGGTTTTGTTGCCGTTGCTGTATTATGGACCGACTTGTGCCTTGAGATGCGGAAAGTCATAAGGTTTTCCCAAATCTTCATAGTGGGGGGGATACAAATCCCCGATATCCAACTTCGGATAATAATACCAGCCTTCCTCAGATTGAGGTGCCTTTGAGCTGCTGGCAGCAGTCTCACCTGCTACTCCTCCTACTGTTGGGTTTGCTGCCGCATTAGCTTTTGCTTAAGTGCGAGATATTTTCTTGCCGGCAGTTTCCAAGAGACCAGCCAGCGGCCCCATCCATCTCGCACGCCCCGGCCTTTCCGCTCTATGTTCCTCACATTCTTTTCCAGCAGCTCGATGGCCGAATTTGCTGTCGCAGTCGTCATCCTTGTCATCTGCTGCTGCTCCCGGAGCTGCTGCAGCGGCACCGCCAGATGCTTCGTCTTCATAGCTGCCGCTGACGCCTTCCTCTGCTGCACCGGTTCCTGGTGCTTGAGTATCAAACCTCATGTCTCCAGGCGGACTGTCTTCATTG